AATAAAAACCCTACTGCCTCTTCAAGGGCTGCCAATAAATTCAGCTCTCTCACCCACACAGCTCTGGGGCCAGTCTTTCTGTTTGATTAAACTTTGCTCCCCAGTGGTATGAAATATCCAAAGGCACTTAGATTTACAGCCTACTCCGTTAAATTATTGACACCTCACTGCCTTTGCTATCAGTTTCTTGACTAATCCCCTGTTGTTACCTCACTTATTTAAGTTGCTGACTTCCATTTGACTTTCAGTGATAAACTACTCAGGAATGATTCATTACAACTTGATGGCAGCGGCTATGCACATGTTTACATTACACATGCGATATCTGATGTGCTCATGCTAAGTCTGCCAGTCTATAAATAATTGTTTGTGTTCAACATGAAACAAACAGCTGTTGTCTTTGAAGCCAAGATACGGAGCGCTGGCTCTGCGATACATCTAAATAACACGAGCTGTGCAGATAGCACACAGGGTGAGAAAACAAGAGAGATGAAGAAGGGAAGAAAGGCTGGGAAAGAGAGAGTGTGAGAGAATAAGGGGGCATAAGATGAAGGGAGTGTGTAAGGAGGCTTTCAGGCAGAGAGGATGTGTAAGCTCTGTCTGTGGAGTGAGCAGGTTAATTTTTCATGCGCCGGTTTGCAGGGCCGGGCCCGGGCAATCCTATGGCTGGCCACGGTTTCCCGAGAGAGAGCTTGTTGCTCCGGGCCCCCGGGCGAGTTTCTTGTTGAGTCTGCCTGTAAATTGCCACCAAACTAGTGAATTACTCCATGATGTGTCACAGAGGCAGCCGAAAGCCCTATAGGCATAAAGCCACGGACTTATGTTTTCTCTCATAGTAATTCCTCAGTGACAGCCACGGCAGCAAATTGAGATGTCTCAGTTAGAATCCATCAACTCCATATTCAAAACAGCTGGTTGCCACTGCTACTAGAATTTGTGATGGATAAAATTCATGACTGTGCTGCTTCTGGTTTAACAAACAATGGCAAATCCCTTTTGGTAAAATATTGGGATAATTTGACAGGAAATCTGCACATTTGAGACTTGCCTCCCAAGAAGAAGACTAAGGGTCTACAGCCATGGTAGCAGCTGTGTGGGGCTGTACTTACTCACAGTGCTGCTTTGAGCTAAATGCTAACATTGGAATCATTTTTGTCTAGGGTGTCAGCATGCTAATATATGCTAATGAGAGCTAATCACAAGTACAGCTAAGGTGTATTTGATCATAAACCAAAAATATAGAACAAATTCAAATTTTGACCTGATGAACTAGATGAAAAGTAAAGGGATCCACAAAGTTTTAGTACAGTTCATCCTGAGGAAGACATGATAACCTGAAACAAATGTCATGGCAATCCATCCAATAGTTGTTGAGACATTTACTCAAAATAACAAATAAAAGACAAAAATGTTGAACTGCTTGTGGCACAAGAGGAAAATTTAGGGGCTCAACAAGTCTGTAAGAGTCATCCTCTGAGTTCCATACATTTTAAGTGCTAAATTTGATTGCAATGCATCAAATAGTTGTTGGGATAGTTCAGTCTGGACCAAAGTCGTGGACTGACAGACCCACCATCAGTAGAGCCATGCCACTAAAACCATTGGTTCCAGCAAATTCCCCAAATAGGGCAGGGTTGCTTAAATGGTTGTCCCCAGTGAGTTGCCAGGAATTCAGAATCAGAAAGTTAAGACCACATTGAACCTGGAATCTTCTTCTGTCCCATCCCTAGCCTGGTATCCTTAAAACCACGTCTAGATAAGATGATTCTGCATGATATGATGTATGTCCACTGTCTGGGTAGTGGACTTCCCACCCCCTCCCAGACCCTCAGCTAATTTTTGCCTTTTTATCCCCCACAACCATGATCTTTCCTTGAACAAAGTGATTTAGTTGCCTTTACTCTAACTATACCTTAACCATAATGTATTTTCCAGAACCATGTTTTTTACCTCACCCTAACCATACCTGCCAAACACAGATGTCGTGGAAAGCAAAATCTGCACCTACGCAATAGTCCAATACTGATGTTCTTGTCTGCCAAAGGGTTGCAAGCCCACCCAGGAGAACAAAATCTGCCAGTCAAACCATTTCCACACCTTAAGAGCGCTGAAAGATGAATGTGGTCCTAATACACTGACTGTGCACAAATGATGTTGTAAGACCGACAGAATTCATTTTCTTTACAACAGTGAAGGGATTTGTGTCTTACAGCTGTCTAGTGTTCTAGTGTGAAATCTAGGCTTATTGATTTCTGTGGGGCTATATTCTTTACAAAGGATACGGTGTGTACTTGAGAAAATACTTGTTTTATTTTATTGCGTGTTTCAGATCCCTCACCTCTCAATCCCATGTCTGCACCAAACAGTACACTCTCAGAACTATCTCAATAGAAAATAACCCTTTAAGCAAACAGCACCTTGACCCCAACAACATCAAATGAATCCTTATCGTGGTGGCAGAGGCGAAGAAAAACAATTCTGCCGCTTAAACATCATAAAAGCATGACAGGCTCCCTCCCCTTAGCTTCCAGCGCAGCCGGGGCTAAGCGTTTCAAAGAGACTAGTGTTTGAATGACTGCGATGTGGGAGCTCAGAGTCTGTAGCTATGGATTAAGCTCACAGCAAATAGTAGCATGGAAGAAACAGAGGTAATCTCTTCCCTCTGCTCCACGGCCCTCTCACCATACCTGTTCCCCCTTTTTTAATCTCCTTACTGAATTAGTTCTTGCAAAGCTACTCAAACAGAGAAGGGTTTATTCACAGTGGTTACAGAGGTTAAAGTAACATGAAAATGATAGTGTCTCAAGTTCCCGAAAGGTCCATTTGCTCAAGGATTGATGTGCTGCTCACCTGGTTATTGTTCTCCAAAGCAACATACTGGTAAAATACACTTGCTGCCATCCTCAAATTTGCTGCTTGGATGAAAGGTACATGAGGGTATTTCTCAGTTACAGACCTTGAACTGCAGCCAGTTGTAAGCAGCGACTAAGTATAACATTTTGATAGTTGCGTATAGATTACACAGTGTAACCTGACGCAGCAGTGTATCATAAAAACTTCATCATACTCACTCACTCAGTGCAGACTCTGGTTTAATCACCTACAGTGCTCGGGATAATTTACCCTGCAGCACACTGCATTTGCATAAAAGTAGTTTCGTTTTGCATTTTGATACATTGCCTTGCAGTTTCGCAGAAGATTCTCGCCATAAAAGAAAATTCCCACACCTGAACCACCGCACTAACTGCCTAAATATTTCAGCCTGGCTCTCGCAGCTTTGCTTTCACTGCTTCCTGTACTGTGAAGATCAAATAATGAGCCAGAGCATTCTTATATGTAATATTTCACACTGGCTGAATATTGTAATTTTTTTCAGCTCGCACACCTTCGTGTGAGATCATTATCAGTAAGCCTCTGATATTAACTGTTCATCATCAGTGTTTCTCCCCACACATCCCCATCTGACTCTTACTAATGAGAGCTGAAAATAGTCACAATGTAGTTAGGCCTCTTCCTTTCAGATAACCATTAGGATGAGCTACAGACTCAATAGGCTAAGGTGCATATTATAGGCAAATATTTGAATCATACAGGGTGTGAATTCACCTGATATTTATTGTATGTCATAATTTGTCATGTTTTCTGTCATTTTTAATTGTACTTTTGCAACACGCTTTAACTCGCGCTTCAACACATCCTGGGTGCACAAGTTGTCTAACAGGTGGCCCTGAGGTTCTGCTATGGTATGTTCTACCCAATAGGTTTACACACATCATGACAATGATGTTCAATGCAGACTCTCCAGTAAAGTAAAATAATCTTTGCAGGAATTTAAACCTGGCATGAAAGATGGAAGGTTCACAGCTCCAGCAAACTTGCTTCATTCAAGCTAGCAAAGAGACAGCAAGTTTCCAGCTTAGCAAAGCATTATGCAAATACTAACCAGGCATTTACAAAGGGAGCACCGCTTCCCTGACTACTTGTAACTTGATATTATGTTTTATAAGTTTCCTCTGAAAGTTAAATTTACATGCAATCTATTTAGTTATCTGTGTTATAATCAGTGAATATTGGACTGATGTTTCATTGAATATGTACAGTAATAGATTGTTATAAAGATAACGGACAGGTGAAGATAGAGGGTTTTAACATTGGGAATAGAGAGATGAAAAGTACTGAAAAGTATGAATTTAATCTAGTGTTGTGGTCCCCACACTTTTGCATGGGCTATTTAGGACCTCCCAAACCAATATAGTATACACCACACAATCTCATGGTGCCATTGACAACACTTGAATAGGTGAATACACATAGAAGTGTAGGTGGAGTTATAATACAGTTGGGGCAGTGAAACCTATAATGGAAATAATTGTTACACAATACAGTGATTATATAATGCCATTGCCCTGATTTCTACTGATGGAAAGCAGATAAATTAAGCTGTGCCATTACTTTGCAGAGGACTCCCAGGAACTCCCAGAAGGACCCCTGGAAGTCCCCACACAGCAGATTGGGAAACACACCAACCCTGCTCCAGGGGTTTAAAATGGTTGGGCACAGGGCAAGGGTATGTTTGTATGGAGACCCATATTTCAAATATTTACTGTACCTGACGATGAAATGTAACTTTCCTACATTGAGTTGTCTGCTGGTTGGGTGGGTGGGTGGGGGGGGGATGGTCAGAGGAGGTGTCAGAGACCTTGTGTGTGTGTGTGTGTGTGTGTGTGTGTGTGTGTGTGTGTGTGTGTTTGTGTCTGTGTGTGTGTGCATGGCCTGCATTTTCTACTAGTGACAGCACAAACAGTCAGTCCCGGGATATGCATGATGTGGCATCAGCTCTGGCAGACTAAAATAGTGCCTTGTGTGCCCAACAGAATAACCCCCCTTTTTTTTTTTTTTTTTTTTAACACCAGCTTCCTTCCTATGGTAATTTGTAAGCCAGAGGTGGCGGAAATACGTCAGTTATGTGGGTTCTCTGAAGCTTGACTGTGTCTCTTAATTTCGGATGAAGGGAATGGGAGAGGAGGGGAGGGGGGGGGAGAGGAGATTTTAATCACTCCTGTCGCTTTAAGGACACTTATCAAAGCCTTCTTATGCGAATAGAAAATACCATGAGCCACTGAGCAGCCAAGTGACGGACTGGAGTGGATTTATGGGAAACTCAACATTATCTGAACTGGAATAGACCGCTTCATCGCCTCATGGAGTTTGATCACACACTGGATGGTTGTCTTACTCGGACGGTTCGGATCATTTAGGAAATATTGCGCATAAGTAGCTCTCAGACTTGGGATCATTTTGCCCCTGAAGCGCAGAGAGGAATATGGCTTAAAACTCAAACGCGTTACGGGATTATTCACTCATCCGACAACCACGATCGATACGTAACGTTACTAGTTCGCCAGGCGTTTTTGTTTCGGACGGATAGTATCCCGAGCTCTTTATTTGACAGTCTTGGATCATGGATTGGGGTGGTGAAAAACAACAACGGGCAGCGACATGATTTCTCTGCGCTGTCTGCGGCATGCAGCGAGGTTCGGCTGTAACGCTGCTTGTTATTATTCTGATGCAACAAAAGTTACAAAGCGAGAGTGATGCGTGGATTTTAACTATTTCGCCGTTTTGCACCTGCTTTCACGGATACCGCGTCGACATAGTGCAGATTCGTGACAAAATAACGCGTGGATCCGCGTCTCTTTGCTCCTTCTCTACCGCCTGAGTGGGATACTTGAACATTTTGCTTATCGTAATGGAGATTGGGGAGGTTTATACTCAAGGTCATTGTGTGTTATAAGGCTTTATTTGCGTTGTTATTTACACACACACACACACACACACACACACACACACACACACCGCGCTACCTTCACGTTATAGCGCAGCCTACGATCCTCAGTCCGGTGTGTGTTATTTGTTATTACGCGGTGCAGCGAGCGTTCAGCAGAGCACCGACTGTGGAGTTTTATATTTATATTTCTGTTTGGTTTTTTTTTGACACTGCGAAGCTTACACTAACAACATGGATGGGAAATTGAAGCAGGGTCGGAGATGCCGATCCAAGCGGGATAGGGTGCGGAGGTTGCGGGAGACAGGAAGCAGAGACGCCCGCAGCCCCGACCCCAACTCCTCCTGCTCCGACAGGGAGGGACACAGTCCGGGGAGGGACGCCGCCTCCCTGCCCGGTAAAAAGGCGCCGCACCCCGCAGCCGCCGCCAGAGCTCCACGTCCCCCCCGGCGGAAGAGACGGGAGTCCAGCTCGCAGGAGGAGGATATCATTGATGGATTTGCTATCACCAGTTTCATCAGCCTGGACCGTCTGGAGGTAAGGAGGAACCGGATCATTACCTGTGTGTGTATGTGCTGCATTCTTCATCAGTGGAGTGGCTCCAAAAGTGGAGGTCCTTGAGGCCCCCCTCACTCACCAGCAGCGTGAGGACTAGTCTAATTTGTCTCCAATTTGCTTGAGATGATGCCAATTAAAAACTGGATGAGGATGACTCTTCTGATCATCTGATAGGCTAGTGTAAATCAGAGATTCTTAGAGGTTCAGATCCCCCCCCTCAAGGTGTCCCTGATCAATCCTTGGTTTGATTCTTATCACACAGCTGTTGACAGCTGTAGAGTTCAACACTAAATCATAAACAGCACAGTTGTTCTCTTATTGGGGTCCCTGCCTGGTTCATGGAGCTGAATGTGTGTCTGTTTGTAGTCCATGACATGAAAGTGTGTGACAGCCAGTTTGCAGAATACTACAAGTTCAAGGCTTTGTGAATGAGATGTTAATCATTGGCAGCATATGGAGTGTTGTAGGAAAACAAACAGGTACTGCTGTGTCAGTAATGTCTCTGGATTGTTTTATATTCGGATGCTCTATGAGTTGTCAGTGCACTCTTGACATTTCGCTCTTTGATAAACTGCCTATTGCACCATTCATCTGTCACGAGCTGATACACCATGTGCTGATAACTCTGTTTCTGTCATTACTGTGTGGTATTTCTGATGTCAGAGGAATGATTTTAGGAAGAAAGGATGTTCTCCTGTGACATCCCCTTATCTCTTTTATCTCATTACGTTCCAAATGACAAATAAAACATCGCTCCCTGAGGGACGTGATGCTGACTGACAAGGCCTGTTTGTTTTTTCTGTCTCCCATGGCTCATTCTGGGAATGGCAGCACTACTGTAGTTAAAATATAAATCACTAGCTTTAATGAACATAGCTAACAATCTGTATATTTAAGGATGATGACCTCATTTGAAAGCTGATGGATCATACCACAGGCCACCTCATTTTAATGTCAACCTCCCATGTAGGCTTAGTGGTATTAATCAGTCATGATTGACTCTTCCCTCCTACATAGTGCTTAGTCAGTGTAATGGTTGGATGCTGATTCCCAGCAAAATAACTGAAATATAAAGCAGTTGTCCATCCTCATACATTGAATAGAAGATTCACTCACTTGGAGCTGATCATCAATTCACCACCTGCTATCTGCGAACAGCTTTAACCTGTCTGGGTCATCAGTGCTTATATTGCTATTCCATTTATCTCAGCCCTTCATGGTGCTTAGAGTGGGTGTGAAAGCAGAAGGGAAGAATAAAAGGAAGGGTGTTGTGAAACATGTGGTCATGCACCCCAACCACGAAGAACTGTCATATTAATCTAAGAAGTATAACACACCACCCACAATGGCAAAAACTACATAGCTTCTACAGATTGAAAATATTACACCTCATAAAATCCTACAATGATACCATACAATAGAAGGTTCCACAGCAGTACCTCCCCAAGATGTTACATGTTATCAAATGTGGATGAAATGTGTGTTTGCGCCCATTGTTGTTGATTTGTATGAGTGCAGTGCGCTGTGAGGTTTTATGTGTGAGTATTTCTGCCCTTTTGTGCTGCGTGGCTGCCACTTCTGACAGCTGCTGACTGTGAAAGACTTTGAGGATGTCACAGCAGCAAAGTGCTTCTCACTGGCATCTTCTGGCAGCATGCTGGTGTCTCCTCTGCTGTCAGTGCAGTGCCCTGCCCTATTGACTTCTAGGAAAGATATTGTGTGTGGGTTTGATGTAGTGGGAGGTCCTTTTAGTTCACAAGTTTCACATTTGTCCTTGTCCTACTGTCCTGTTCATTGTTGCAGGACGACCAGGTTGCATTTCTAAAAGGGTTTCTCTGTCGATGCTTTATCATGATAAAAGTGCTGCCTCTTTGGGTTTGAGGGGGAATGATGGTAAACAGTTATCCAATTTTTGTTTTACACATTCCAGAGCAGTAATAGTTTTCATACTAAAGTGCTAAATCCATGTTGAATGAGCACAGAGGAAACAATGCGCTCTACATAAGAGCTTATGTTTCAAGGCTAAGCAAATGAGGCATGATACAGCTCTATGTGAAATGATACTCACATGCCAGCTACTCGTTGGTAATTGGTCTGATTTGCATGCAAATGGACTGAGCTTATTAAATGATGTTGGTGGATCTGTTACAATAACATGATGGGGATGTGGACAGATTTTTTTTTCGTGTGCTTTGCCTCTTGATTTTTCCTGCATGTGGAAAATGAAATCAGCACGTTCACTTATACATATTCCATATACTGTTTACTGTTAGTGACAACAACACTCCCATTTGTTTCCAGTTAATAAGTTGCATCAGAGTGAATGAAATGCAGTCTTTTGAAATGTGTACCCACTGGAAAATCTCTTACAATCAGTCATGACTCACGCTCTCACCTACTTACTGTATGCTTGAGTGGAGCTCATGACCTACGCCACCTGTGCTAATTGCTCATCAATTATGAGGACGACACAGCAGCATTTGGCCAGGGAATAGCTCTGACCTATTGCATCATGCTCCAATAAGCTCGGCTGAGGGTGTGTGCGGTCCTCCTGACCTCTTCGAACTGACTGATGACCAGCATTGTAGTGTTTATGTCAGGCCTTACAGTCAGGCTACTGTCTCATTAGCATTCTGCCAACACCAATATCCCATCCTCCCTGGGTTCAATGAGCCCACACTGCCAACATACCAATATTTACTCTATCTTGTTTCTTTTAATCTCTATCTAAGCCCTTTGCCGTTCGCTAAAGCACTTCAGGATGAACATGTTTCATAAAAAAACCCTGTCACCTTTGGGTTACAGTCACTGTCATTTGATTGTCCTATTTTAGTCTGTAACTTGTGCACAGCTGCTACTGTCTGTTTGCAAGAGCCTGTGGTTATGGGTTTCTCCCAGAGCACTTTGACTCTAAACTCAATCGGTTGGTTGGTGTTGTTGATATTCCAGCTCCGCGCTGATAGGATCAAGCTCCCTTGATGAAGGCTTAGGCTGTACGGTGGTCTCGCCCGCTCCCGTAACCCGTTTCACTACAGCTGAAAGCAATTTGTAGCCGTGGCTGCATTTGATTATGGCGTGTTTATTTGCTTTGAATCTCCCACCAGTTTTCCATAGGAAAGCAGCTTACTTACCTGTGCAAATCGACTGTACAAACACAGCCGTACTGTTTTGTCACGGGCACCTTATTGTGATTAGAGAATGTTCGGGATGATTCAGTGATGATTCAAAGAGTGTAGCACAGTCAATCTGCTATTGTAGGCTTTTGAAAGGAGAAAAGGAAAACCTTGTATGTCCAGTTTGGGTGGTTTTAATATTTCTTTCTTGGAATGGTTTCTACTTCTCTTCTTCCTCTAGAGATACCTCTTAAAAATCTTTCGAATAAATATTAGAACGATTAATACCAAAGAATTTCTTACATGCCGGAATGTCAACCTCCTGGAGAAAGGAGGTTTTCACCTGACAGCAGCCCTATAAAACAATTACCCGCTGCGGCTTATAACCTCTAGAAGTCTCCCTGTGGGTATCGAACAAGTGAGCAGATAATAAAATGACACAATTATCCATCTGTCACACTATTAATAAGATGTTTGATTTGCTCCATTTGCTCTGTGAGTGACGTTGGAGTGGCAAATCCCCTCTCGTTAATCCACAATCCTTCTGTTCATCTGCTTTAACATGAATTTACAGATTTGTTTGGGTTTTTCGTTCCGCAGCGTGAGTTTCTAAATTCATTCTAATGGGGATTTAGGTTTAGTTGATTTAGCGATATTACAACAGTGTCGAGGGGCAGGGAGACGAAAGGCCAGGCATTCGAACAAAAATGGGTTCCATTTATAGAAGCTTTTGATGAGATGCAGCGTCTGTCTCTTTATTCATCCAGAGAAGTTTTGCTTTTTCATCATGCCCCTGCTTTGCACACTTTCACTAATCATCCTGTGCTGTTGGCCAGTGAGCAGCTCCACCAAAGCAATATGGGAAAATTAAGTCCCTTGCCCTAGGGGAGCTTGACAGCAGTTTTTAGGGAAGCTGCTGCTTCACTTTCTCCATCCATATTTTCTATAACATCAAGTGCTCTGATGAAGGCCTCAAACTGAGAACCAGTATTCTATTTTTTCTTACTCCTAAAATAACCACACTTGCAGCTCTGCAGCTCAAGTTCCACCGCATTCATTACTGGGCATCTCATTGTTAGCACTCAGATAGCACTGTGTGTTGCTTATTAGCAGTCTTTAGTACAGCTGACACTCAGGAGGACTCCTCTGTCAGAACCTTACTTGCCAAAGACAATTAATGAACACCCTGGTAGCACCTAGTAGGCAGGGCTGTATTGACACCCTCTGTGCTTGAGCTTTTCTTGAGATTAAGAGGTTAGAGAAGATTTTAGGTAGTTTGACATCCCATCTTTCCCATCTTTTCTTTGTGGTCAGCTGTGCGCTTCTGCTCTATAAGTGCAGGCTCTGATTGTCGGTTGGGTAACACAGTGCAAAGTGATACTGACACCCGATGCCACAGCAGTCGTTGCTGTAGTAAGACGTCTTGCTTCCATGGTGAGGCAGCAGATTTGTTGCAGGGGTTGCAGCAATCTTGCTTCGTGTTTTGTCTTTCCCCCGACGGTGATAGCGCTGTGCATCATATGCCGGCACTGACAAACAACTCCAGCTTTAATTAACAAGGCAGCCCCCCCGAGGCTCCGCTGTTCATTGGCTGACGCATCCCACGGAGAGAGCTTTCTTAATGCCAGTGGGATGTCCCCCGGCCCCGGCTCTCTGAAACTGTCACACACTGTAGGCGACAGCATGGCTGATAAATGCATGGGCACATTCACAAGCCTTCTCTGTCTCGTACACACAAACACAAAGGATTGAACCTCCACTGTGCATCTGTCCAAGCCATCAACCAGTGACCTAAATATATCCACCAAAGGAAGGTTCTAGTGTGTTGTGGAAGTGTGTTCATGTGGATCTGGACGCATGGCAATC